AACCCATTGAAAATGGGAAATCAGGGTATAATGTTTTTGTGAAAAATTATGTAACGGGCAGAAGGAATCATCGCAGACCACATTAAGTATATATATTCCTGATCAGCACGATGAGCTGAGTCGGTATAGCCTTGTCCGTCTGTCTCAGAAGATATAAGACCTAGAGAGCTCAAATGTGTGTGCATACTCGTGTATACCATACGCAGTACGAGTTTGCATTATTTTTTCGATAACTTTTTTATCGGATGCAGCGCAGCCCAAGCGCAGTCGCTGCATACTGCACAGTTAGCAGAGCGCGGGTGCGTGAGGGTGGATGCATATGTATGTATGAGTGCGTGCATAAAAGAAGTGCAGAATGATACAAATATATCAGCTTGGAGGGTTCAGGGTATCTCCTAGTCGAGCAGTCTCGACTATAACCTTACTTGTTTTGAATAATTTCTTTTGTAGACATACAATCTTAATGAAACTTTCAAAGCGTGATCATATGGTAAAAATGTGTGTATAGTCTAAGGAACAAGTCTCTAGTACTTGAAATACGTTTTTACAAATTGGGAGCGAAGGGGGCGTGTTTGTATTCATCGTACGTATACGTATACACACTAAATCTGAAGTCTCCAGGTCTAATAGTATTCCAATGAAGCTCAAAAAACAATATCAATTTTACGAATATTCACGATACGAAAGTTATCGGATGAGTTATCAAAGAAAAATATGATAATCTCGCACTGCGTATGGTATACACGAGTATACATACCAACTTTCAGCGGGCGGACAGACGGACAGGTCTACATTGACTAAGCTCATCGCCCTGATCAAGAGTATATATACTTTATGGGGTCTGCCATGCCTCCTTTTGCCTGTTACATACTTTTTCACAAAAACATTATACCCTGATTTCATATTTTCAATGGGTTATCTTCTTTAAAATCACATATATCTCCTACACCTTTAAATCTAATGTCTTAATTTTTTATTTTTTTCGAATGTGTTAGTAAAGTATTCCTGAAAGTATCCTCTCTCTGGTAGTATCACCTAGTATTTCTATCTGTCAGTATTTCACTTAGTATTTTTGTCTTCACGCCATTCTTACCATCTAAACTATTTCCACAAACAACGCAAGTAAAACATTGCGGATGATAGGGCTTGCCCGTGGCTCTTAAAATTCTCTCCAAAATTGGCTTTAAGCAAACTGAACACTTCTCAAGTGTTTGCAAATAGTCGTATTCGCAAAATGGTTCTCCTTCTAGTGCATAAAATGGTTTGCCCTGTAGGTTCAGTTGACATACTGTGCATGTGAAACATGAAATGTGATATATTTGATCCATGGCAGTGCATCCACTACTTTCGCCAAGCACGCGTTCATTACATTTGAAGCAACGACCTATATGGGGAACAAATGAAAAGAATTAAGAAACAGATACATAAAAACGATATAGACTAATTATCAAATGGTTTTAGACATATACCGACCGTAGCTCTCCACTTCGTTTGTCGAATCAATCGTTGCCAAGTGATATTGACTCAAGTGATCATCATTTTCATTTATTTTTGAAAATCCAATGTTAGCCTCTACTTTAGCTTCGCCGTTGCAGTATATGGGAGTATCTGTTACACTTCCACTTTGTTCCACCCCCAGTTTATTCCACTTGCTGGTTGACATATTGCGCTGATTTACATATGTAGCATATGCATTACAATTCGCAGTACGCGACGACATGTTGATAGGTGGACGAGGGTTTATTGGTTCATATATCGAATCATATGTTGAAGAACTCTGTCAAAGCATAAGAAAATTATTTCTGATGTATTTTGTATTTACAATTTTATATTTAAAATACGCCCAACTATTGTGTACTTATCACAGATTACTGGTATACGGGATAGATATAAAAAAGTGTTGAAGTAGGTTGTGACGGACAGAGAGAGTAAGACGAGAGCAAACAAGTAAGAAAGCTCTAATCACTCGCGTGTGAGTTTAGTACATGTGAGTTTAGTACATGAACTTAATTGTCTAATAACATATCTTGTCGATGGGAACCTTAAGATTCATGAAACTTTCAGATCGTGATTATAACATAAACATAACACAATATAGATCGAATGTCTTTAAAATACATATGTATGAACTAACATTTGAAACTTTGCGACTCTAGCTCTAAAGATGTAATAGATATAATTTTATAAACGATTTTTGATAAGGTGCTTAATCGATAAAAAAAAATATATCGGGATAAGTTATCGATGGATCATTGAGATCGGGGCGTTCCAACATACGGATAGACAGACAGACGGATGGATAGGGCTAAATTAACTCAGCTCGTCGCCCTGATCAAGAATATATGTATGGCTGTCATGCCTTCTTCTACCAATTGGTTCAGTGCATAAAAAAAACTTCAATTATATATATATGTCGTATCGGTTGAAGTTACTATGGGATTTATTAATCCAATGTCATTGAGAATAACAAGCCGTTCGTATTAATCGATTGATTTAGTATTGTAGTGACAAAGGATGTATCGTCACTAAGACTATAAATGAAGCTATAGCTGAAGCTTTACGTTCGATGAAATAGAATATGCGACCAGAAGTAGAGGTTTTGATGAAAGAGAGGAGAAATGACTTGGTCAAAGACTATTGAGCACGAAAAAGCTCTGTAAAAAGAATTGGGCGACACCGGGAACTCGGAAACTATCTTAATGCCTAAACGGTGTATCAATAAATTGTAATTATAACATGTATATATTCTGTATAGGATGGTGACAGCCGCGTCAGCTTCTAGGTATGTTTTCATATAATCATAGATATACATAATTTTAATATAATACATTCCTACCTGGGATAATACACCATAGCCAAAATAGTCGCCACACGTCTGATAGCTCTGAAATTAAATTATTTACTTTATATTTTATAATTATATTTATATATAAGTAATGTGAGAACATTTACGTTTTGAGTAGCACTTGGATTGGCAAGGTTCACCCTCAACATGGAAGTTGCCATTGGTTTATTTGGAATTTTTTCATGTGAGTTGCCCTCTTTACTAAAAACGTCACTAGCTCTTCGCAGCTCACTATAAGATGAGCTAACTGGACTAGGAGGCGGCGGTAAGTCTTCATCCACTTCCTTATCTAAAAATCGGGTTGTCCAAATAGAAAGCATTCGATTCGGTGATATATCATCAGCAATAAATGAATCTGTAAAGGGTAGGTGTGTGTGTGTGTTCTTCTTTCTTTTTTAAATTCATTAATATTAATCTCCTCGATTTTTAATTATTCTTAACACAGCTACCAATATCTGTTACAAGCGGTGGCACTATACGAATCCGAGGAGCATCTCTCTTGATTGCACTGGGTCTTCTGCTTGGCAGATCATAATAAAACTTACCATTTTGTGTAAATGTATGTTGGACATTGGAAGAAGAATCATTTGGTTGAATGAATATAAACTTCGAATCGTTAGTTAAATTGCTATAAATAGATGCACTCTGTCTGGAAATGTTATGGCCACTTAGAGATGTGGAGGATAGTTTCGGTATGCTTTCGGTATGTGGACTCTGAGAGCTCAATAGTCCCTTTTTCTCCATTTGTTGCTTGTGGTACGCTAAAGCTTCTAATTGCTGTTCCAATATAGCTGGGTTATCCAAAGTCTTTCGGCTGCTGCCAATTTTGTCAACACTTTTACTAGCATAGATGGGCTGTTTTGGTAGAAGGTTTGACCCACTAAGCAGCGGCTGTGAAAAAAGTGGTTCTCGGGCATCCGTAACTAACTTGCTGAGGGGCACCTGAAATATCATATTTAATTTTTGAACTATGAAGTTTATAATTACTTTTTACCTGAGGTATATCAACTGTCCTTTTGAATGGCTTCGGTGGTATGATTGGTGCCGTCCTCGATTTGCTGAGAGCGGAAGCATTTTGAGCAGCTCCAGCTTTCTGTTGTAAATTGTCAACTAAAGCTGCGACCTTTCCTGTTTTTATATGTTCATCATCACACCTTCTATTCAATATTGTTAATTGCTTTAGCTGCTCCTCTAATGAATTCATATTATTGTTTCCTTTTTCGAAGAAATGTACAACAGCAAAATATCACAATTTCACAGCACAATTTCACAATATCTTATATTCATATTTGACTGCAATTATAAAAAATTGATAAATACACAACGAAGTTAGAGATGGGAGAACACTAAAAGAATAATCGTTACAAGAGTTTTGAGAAAGTCGATGAAGCTCCGATTTGTTGTTGGAAATCATATCAACATTTTTGGCGATCAACTTTAAATTATTTTGTAGAATTATATTCCATTTAAGAGTCTAAAAGGCATTATTTCATGAAATTAATGTAATATATTTAATATTGTCAATATGCAGTGAGTATCCTCACCAACCATATGTCATTATCGATAACTTTTAGTAATTACACTAGCCAGACAACACGATTGAGTGATAGCACTGACCAGAGAACACATAGACTAGACATGTAGAACAAATTTTTCTACAGCTC